TTCAAATCCATCTTGTAAAAATTTTCGTCCAAGTAATTCCTGAGACTGCCATTTTCTTGAAAATCAAAAACCATCATGTAGCATAATGACCCGAGTTGCGTAATTCCATAGCACCTAACAATAAAAGTACTCCAAATAATAGAATGTTTCTCAACCTAAAGTTTAAATAAATTATATTGATTATAAAATTATGTTTAAACGAAGTTTAATATTCTTTACCTCATTTATAAGATCGTCAACCGAACTAAGCTTATCAAAGTTTTTTAATGCTACTTTCTTTCCAGAAGACCTAACCTATTTCTTATTGAGAACATCCCAACTCATAATTTTACCATCTTTCCATGTCGCAGAATACACGGTGCCGTATCTTCCTTTAGCAAAAAATTTGACATCTTGAAATTGTGTATACGGTATCCATTCTAATACTTCATCTCTATTACTGGTTTGAAGCTGAGACTTTTGTATAAATTCGTCAATTTTTTTATCTCCACTTGTCCATTTATCAAAATCTTCCGGATGCAAAAATAGGATCTGATACCTTCTGTTAGCTTGTAATAAAATTTATCATTATATACAGTATACTGTGCCTTAACAAAAAATTCTTATTATTATATCTGTGTTAATTTATTTGGTTTATAGTTATATTTAGTATTCTGTCCGCACGCGTAATGGACCAATCATATGCTTTCATCACTTCGGACATTACAACGGTTCCCATTACCCAGTTATTTACATTTTATATATGGATGAATACTGTATGCAAATTAATTATGATATAAATAATGAAATAAAAAAAAATACAGTTAACTACTATTTACTAGGATTAAACAATTTTACTTGACTTAATTACAATAGTTCATTCAAAATTTTCACCTTATGTGAAAAATAACAACATTAAGTCACTTGACATTTTTCAAATAAGATTGTTAGAAGGCACGAAGCATTTTATTTCAAATTAATTTATTATTATGTTACAGGTCATCCGAAAATTCTCAGTCCATCTAATCCAGATTCTATGTTACTATCATTGTGTTCTCGTTCAAGCTGAACTCCTTCATTATCATTTACGTCTACTCCGTCATTAAAGTTCTTTCCCAATAGCGATGTGTACAATTCATCGATCATGTCGTCATGCCACGTTCCAGCTGGTATCGGGACCATGAAATTTTGCAATTTCTCTTGCACGTGATATCTAAAATTAAAAAATCCTTGTTACTTAACTTCAATAAAGATATGTGCTATTCATTATTAACGTTACCTCATCCGACGACCTTTACTTGATTTCGTATCAACTTTTTTCTTTTTCTGCTTCGTTTGTTTCAGGGCTGCCCAACGCATGGTAAAAGCAACTGGATCATCTAGAGGAAAGTTATGGGTTAATGTTATACAAAATGACTAAAAATGAAATAATATGAGAATTACCTGTATCAATCATTCGACTTTCAATCAATTCACGTAATAATTGTTGATAAAAATCCGTGTCATCAAATATCTCTAAATCATAGTTAAATAGTTGTTCATCGTGTTTTTTCGAATCATCATTATCTTGCAATTTTTGTTCATCCTATTTCATTTAGACGATCATTGCTCGTAAAAAACAAAGATAAATTCCAGAAGCCATCCAAAGTGTAGGAAAATACCTTTCCCAGTATTTTATCTGAATTTCTTTTTAATTGAGTTCTCTTAACTAGCCTTTCCCGATCACCCAAGGCTTGTTCTATTTGGACATTGGCGCTCTGGTTAATGGCTTTGAACTTTTTGTTAAGCGGTATGCCAGACGCGATTTGAACCTTATTATTCCATTTTTCGATAATCTGAGTACGGTGCGGTAAGAACATGTTATGCATTTCTTGTATGTCCTTCCATAGATATTCTGCGTAGTCGTCATCCTCTTGGTGTCGTTTACGGCTATTCGCAACATTCTCATTAATTTCCACAATTTCATTCTCACGATATAAATCCTAATGGTGGACAAGGGTTAAAAAAAGGCTGATCAAGTTAAATTCGTAGGTTTACTTACTTTTCTTAAATCAACAAGTGAATCGACAAGTCCTCTTAGCTCATCTTGTGTCTCCTTTATTACAGACTCAGTTTCCGTCGTGAGATAATGTGAATACATGTTGGGCTAAAAAAACAACCACAAAAAAAGAAATAAATAAATTTGATATTATGCCTAATAATATTCTTAAGGAGAAAATGATTATCGTCAATACTTGTGGGAGCTTATTCGCAATAGAAACCGCTTTCTGTAAGTGAATTCGAGTGTCCAGGAATGTATCCCACAAATTCTAAAAATAAAAATAATATTATGATCAAATTGACCTTGTAATAAAATAGAGATGATTGATTCGAATACAATTACATATTTGAAAACTCACGATTTGAGTCTTAACGTGGCGTCCCTTGGTGATATCTTCTTTGGCGCTTCGTGAAATTTTTTTAAGCAAATGCCTAAAAAAAAAAAGATATATTTTTATAATATCCACACACAAGATAATCCAAAATAAGAACATTCCTTTTTCTACCTCTCGTCTTCTTCTATCTTTCTTAATTCATCCAAGACAGATGGATCCTTATTTAATGGCATATCACTTTCCCGGTCAAATTCAGAATTTCCGACATCATCCTCATCATTAGATAAATCTCCTGCTGCATCTGAAGAACCAATCTCATCCAGATCTCCATTCTCACTTTCTTCATCACTTTTAACCAGAGAAACCTCATCATCAATTATATTTTCAATATCTTCATCATCATGATCAGAACTTTGCTGAATTTCCATCTCGGTATCATCAAAAATTTCTTTCCGATTACTGCGTTTTCCAACATACTTTGGATCATCCAGGACAAATTGTAGATTACGAAGTGAACTCTTGCTACATTAAAATTTTTGATAATATGGAATTACTTCTTATAAACTAGATTCGACAGAATTACTTCTTATTACTAGATTCGACGGAAGGTATTCTTACCCTACTTGAACATAGTGATCTCTCCCTAAAGAACTACTATCTAACTTTTCATTTTCTTCACCACTGTCATTTTGATCGAAATCATATGTGCGAAAGGTCTCTCCAAATTCTTCGGGGTCAACATCTATAATGTTCCAAGATCTTTAATAAGCAAGAGGTTTAGTGAAAAAGAAAATAAAGCCTTGATCAATAAGCAATACAAACCGATCGGTGCGGGATTAGAGAGTTCGGTAAGAGCTTTAGCGAGTGTATTATTCTTTTTATTTAAGGTAGCTATTTAATTATTTTTTCCTTTTAGTCTAATTGTTCAAGTATTAAAGAAAAAAAAAAAAAAAAAAGGCATACCCATAGATTATCTAAAAAAAAATTTTTTTTAACGAATGACCTGCATTATGCGAATTATTATGGATAATTTAATAAAAAACATAATTAACTAATTTTAATCGACTATATATCAAACTTATTAATTTTTCTTTTAAAATAAATAAATAAATGTAATTAGAATATACTGTGTATATTGGTTTTATTTATAATAATTTGAAATTAGAATTTGGTTAATTATTTACAATATTATATTTAATAAATGTACTGTATATACCATAATTAATTGGGTTTTATTTATTTCTTAAAAATCCATTTATTTTTTTTTATAATAAAAAATTTTTGATTTCTTGCAAATAATAAAAATAAAATGTATTTAAATTAATTATTTTACTAAAATAATTATCACTCAAATTAAAATATATACCGTATATACTGGATATGTACAATATATTAATATTTGTACAGTAATTCATGAATACAGTATAATTGCGATTTAAATTTTATTAACTTTTCATTTGGACTGTTCAATATAAAACCTACGAAATTTAATGATATATTAAACAAAAAAAAAATTTTTTTTTTATTAAAATAAAATGTTAAAAAAGTGATGTTAGTTATAAATAGTAAAATAAAGATAGTACAGTATATGTTGCGAACGTAACAATGAAACACAATATCTAAAAAAGTGAATTACGTCACACCCGGAGACAGCCTTCATAAAATATGCACGTTTTGGTATTGCATGACATGCCACTCACTTTTAACTAAATTGTAAGACAAAGCGATACCAGATGGCGCCTTTAATTCAGTCTTCATCGCTAGAATTCACGCTGCATGATTGAGAAACGTAAGAGTGCATGTATAATATATTCAAGTTACGTGCCACAAAAAATGATACATGCGTAAAGAAAACGACTGCCTTCGTTTTATAAATTTCCTCGGACAATAATATAGTATCAGGTTACAACAATAGTCTCGCTGCTCCGAATCAAAGGCAAATGCATGTGTTGAAATTTAAGATTCTATGTAGAAAAAATTACACTTATAACATGTCTATGACTAGTGTACTGTAAATGTATACTTGTTTATTTGTAAGAATGAAGGATACGAAGCGGCTATATAATTATTACGTGGGCTTCTGAACTTACGAATTCAAGGGGCCTAAATGTTCTTTTGGCACGTATACGTAAATGGACACACAATAGCCTATAATGAATTTACGCATCCCTGAAGTTCCAAGGAGACCAATACGTCAATCATTAATTATCACGTGATTTTCAATGTAACAAACGTATTAAATTGCTTGCATTTTTAATCATCACTCTTTTTTGTGAATGGTACAGATTGGTTATACTTTCTCAAATAGCTTTATTAACGTTACTCGTTATTATGCTAATGCACAGATCACCCAAAGCCTGATATAATATTATTCTGTATATTATTAAAGTATTTCCATTTTTCATTAGGCTATTTACGTACGAACCTGTATACTTACAATATTTATGATATGCAATATTTGCAAAATAGCAAAGCTTAAAAAAAATTTAAAATTTTTTTTTTCCTTCTAACCGTTCCTTGTCGCTATCCGAATTCTCTTTGTCTTTTGCATCTAATTATCATACCAAACTATACCCAAATCTATTAGGATTCTGCTGACCCCACACTTATTACTCGTTTCAAATACGTTTGTTCCACTTACATCCAAAAACCAATATCTTACGTTATAATTATAATATATTATAATTTAATTTACTTTCTTATCATTTGGGAATTAATCTGTTGAAGTAACTTCTATACGTTCTGGTGCTTCAAAATGGGTAACGTATTTATGAATGATTATTCGTTATTTGTTGTTATCTTAGTTTCAGCTGCAATGTCTTTCTTTTTTTTGAAATTTGACCAAGTACTAGTGTGATAAGGGAATAGTAAAACTTTTCAACTTTTTATCGAGTTCAAATATTTGTTGTTCATTAAAAAAGTGTCAAGCGGTTTGATCAGACCTTGATCATTCGCCTTCTCAACGATCGATTATTTTTTTCTTTTTTACCTTATACAAATTTATTAACCTTTTTTTGTTTTTGGATCATCTCCTTATCATTTAACCCTGTGCGTAGTGGATTCAACTAGTGTCTCAACATTAAAACACCAAGTTCACATCCTCCGTTATGATTTAGCGGAGAAGAAAGCATTGCTAGCCACTGTTCAAAAAAAACTCAACAGGCACCGACCACAGTACCAGTCACCTGGCAACGGTGACCTAACTGGCACCGCCATAATGACTCAAGAATCAACCACTGGCAAGGTGATTGGTAATTTACGGCATGAGATTGAATCTTTAAAAAAGGAGGTGGCCGACGCAAAAACCCAGATTCACATCTGCAAAGTGGCCAGGGATCGCGCTGATCGCCAAGTGCAGGATCATGCGGCCTCTCATCAGACTTTGCAATTGGAGATTGAATCGTTGAAAGGTATGTTAGAACGGAAAGAACGACAAGTACGGGAGTTGGAGGAATCAACAAAAAGTCGAGAACAAAAGAAAACTGATATGAGAACGGAACGAGATGAATCTAACACAAAATTAAAACAATCTGAAATACGAGCAGTTGAGCTGCAAAAACAATTGATCGAAGCATTAGCGTGCAGAGAACAAGCTGAGATGCAATATAAAATCCTGAGCAGTGAAATGGAATCATTTAAAAAACGATATGTGGACGATGTCGAATTGATAAAACGAGAGTACAAAGAGCTACGAGAGGAAATGAGCTTGACCGCAAAAGAATTACAACATACGGTAGTTAATGCAGAATCTCAAATAGTGGAAATGACGGAGAAAAGGCAAAAGGGGATTGAGGAGTTGAGTGGTATACATCAACAATTGAAGGTACATCATGAGAAATCGACCGAGAAATTGACGAAAGAAATCGAAGAAATGAAAGTGGAAATCGAAAATTCGAATAAGAAAACCAGTGAACATGCCACAAAGGTGGCCTATATAAACCATGAATTGACGGTCAAGCTGAAATGGATGAAGAATGCTTGAAAGTATCCAGAGAAAAACATCCATCCACGAATGTAGAAAGGAGGTAAGCAGAGGCGGCAAGGAAACTCGGAGAAAATTTTGTAATTTTTTGTTAATGTGCACATCCAATCATGTACCTATTTAAAAAAAAAAAAAACGGACAACTACTGATGTACATTCATCACTCGAATACTTTTCTGTACTTTTTCTTCTTATTCAACAAATCTAGGAATTTGGCAACGCATATTAATTGGGTTTTTTCCATTAGTACGGTATAGATTGGCATACCTTATTTTTCTTTACCATCATTATTTGTAATTTTATTCATTTTGTTGTATTATGAATGATTTATCTTATTCTATTGTATTTTTTGAGATCCTTATTCTTAATCTCTATCTTAACATAATATCCAATACCTAGTAACTAATCCATTCATCCATTCCAAGACAGAAATATAGTAGCTAGTCTTTTTTATAACTCAAATTTATTATACTTGTGATCATTGTAGTATCGGTGATGTACGAATTATGATTACCAGCGTCCGAAATTTATACCGAAGCGCAGCGCAGTATTTACACACCTTAAATAAACAATTTGTATGCGCAAAACAAAATGTGTCTGCACAGAGTACCAATTACTTTACGCAATAAAATGCCTCAAATATTCTATTTTTATTTGATTTTTTTTTTTTTCTTTTTAACTATTAATTTAATCTTGTAGAATCAAAGTATGCTAAAAACAAATGAGAAATTTTACTCGTTATCGTATCCACCAGTAGCTTTCTCGAAAATACCTAAGGGTACTTCCATTTTTATTCGCCGTAGTTTTTCGTTACGCGCCTTATCTTTAAGCTGTACTGGATTACGATTACGTAGAGGTCCACCTGCTCTCCCATATTTTTCTAATATTTGGACCCAACTGGTTCCAAATAAATTCATACCTTCTTCCAATGCCTCTAGCTCGGCGGATGTCCATTTAGAACGAGCTTTTTTGACAATATGGCGCCATGATGGTTCGACACTCGAATTTCGACTATTTGTGAAAAGGGAACGTTCCCCGGGCGTGTCCCCTGATACATTTGTCACAATCGGATCTGGCGTTGTTCCCGTAGCTGCCGCAACAACAGGTTCTTCTTTTGTATCAACTGTATCTCGGCTAGAAACTGTAGTAGATTGTGGTGCTTGTTGTGTCAAGGGTCCTTTACTGGCATCTGTAGCTGGAATAGATGATTGAGATTGAGGTTCGTTGAAATGAGATGGTGATTTAGCATTGGAATCTGTTGGTGTAATAGATGATTGGGCCTGAAAACGAGCCACAGAAGCATCATTAACATTAATCGATGTATAATTCGATTTTTCGTGTTCAAAAATCAATGTTGGCACGTCGTCAAATCTTGCTTGATAAGATTTCCTGACTCTCTGATTCTTGCTAAATGTTGAGGGCGAATCAAGGAGTGACGGCTTTTGAAGATAAACAGGAAGCGATTTTTGAGAATGAAAAGGAGAAAACAATATAGCGTCCGAACTCCCACATAAATCATCATCATAATTTTCGAATGTTGGTGTAGTTGGTTCACTCTTTACTTTAATGTCCTCCTTTGCATCACCATTTACGAATTCATCATTCGTAGATTCACCATTTGTAGGCTCATCATTCGTGGACTCATTATTCGTGACTTGATTATTTGTGACTTCTTCATTCATGATCTCTTCATTCGTGACTTTTTCATTCGTGGCCTCTTCATTCGTGATTTTTTCATTCGTGACTTCTTCATTCGTGACTTCTTCATTCGTGACTTCATTCATGAACTCTTCATTCATGCCTTCTTCATTCATGACTTTTTCATTCGCAAACTCTTCATTCATGCCTTCTTCATTCATGTCTTTTTCATTCGTGACCTCTTCGTTTATGACCTCTTCATTCGTGGCTTCTTTATTCATGGCTTCTTCATTCTGCTGATGTTGACTATTTTCTAATGTTGATTCGGTTTGTTGAGCGTCTGCGTTAATTCTTTTGGGCCAAAGACACTTTTCCATTAATTCCTGCTCTCCCATAAGTGATTCATCAGATATAAGAAAGTAATCATTAAAGGTTGCATCCACAGGGTCAACTGTATGATTTGAAGGGTGCGGATTATTACATGCGATGGGCGAGGGAGATGCATTCAGAAATGCGTTTTCTTGATTCTCAGTATTTATCAATGGAGTATCATCCAATTCATTTGACAATGATGATTCTGAGTACGGAAGCGATAATGAATCAATGTTCAATTTTGTTTCAATCGCGTGAGCGATTTGCTCTTCGCTGGAATTCATGTATTTAAAATAAAATGGCCTAAAAACAGCATCTCGCTGTATAAACTCTGGTTGTAAATTTCGTGGTAATTCGTCAAGATACATTGTAACAGCGGTTACGGAGTCAATTAAAGAAGATTGATTGTTGTCTTGCGGATCGAACAAACCATCATGCCCGAAATCAGATTGTTTGTCGAGGCAATCTTCCACAATTGTTGATTGCGTATCTTGCTTAGTCAGTATCTCATTTAATTCGGTTGTACTTGAATTTTGATCATCTTGCGGTAACTGATCAAGTATACCATCTAATTCGTTTCTTTCGAGTAGAGACACGTATTTGTTGTATTGCGTGTTATCCTCTCCGATGAGAAGTTGACTAATGTCTCCATAATCATTCTCCTTCTCTTCATCCATAAAAGGTTGTGCAGTTGAGTAAACGAGGCTTTTTGATAACCGAAAGTTTGGGTATGAGGACCCTAGAACACCCGACATTTTGTGAATAGATGTAAGGTGTGAAAGTGAAACTAGAACTTTCGATAAAAAATCACGGTTGTTTACTTTTTGATCGCGTAATGATCTACAAAATTATGATCGAAATGACGTAAGATGATGTTTAACATCTACGCGTATTATGTCACACTGTAGATCAACGCAGAATCTGTTTTTAGTGACGAAAAAAACCGAAAAACAACAATTTTTTTCATTTTTAAAATATTACAGTATATAATAATAATAAATTATTAAATATCTTTTTACAATCATATTAGATTTAATTAAATTAATTAATTAAAAATTTTTTATATTTTTTATTTTTATTAATGCTTTTTTAATTACAATCTAAAAAAAAAAATATTCTTACTAAATCTATTTATAAATTAACTTTTTAATATAATTTTTTAAAAATTTTTTAATTAATATTTATATTTTAAAAGTAATATTAAATAATATAAAAAGATTCTTGGTATTATCAAAATTATATAATTCATAAAGTTTTTTGATTTTCAATTTTTTGATTATATTTAATAATTAATATAATTTCAATATTATTATTTAATTTAATATAAATATTAATAAAAAACTTGTTAAATAAGCTGGTTCCCAGGTCCAGCAATTATAAAAACTGATTCTTTCAATTACTCCACCTCCTATTCACAGTCAACCACATAGCAAGCACATATATTGATTATAAAATAACTAGTAGCTAGCTTTTATTTACCTGTTTTCTCTTTCCTCATGAGGGTTTTTAGAGTTTATATATGCCACCTTAATTGCAATAGACTAGGATTATTCTATACAGTTGGTAGAAAGATTCTTAATGTAATGGCTCAAGCAAATTATTTGTTTAATAAAGCCTCGCATTTAATGCCCATTTGTAAAAAAAAAAAAAACTTGTTAAATAATAAATTTACTGATTTAATTGGATAATTATTTTTGAAGATGAACCAAAAATTTTTTGGGTCTAAAATAATAACCCTAAAATTATAATTTAAAAAAATTTTTTAAAAAGATTTTTTCCATAGATAAACATTATTTCTTTATTTGATATTGTATATAATATAGTATATATTGTAAATGAAACAACATCTCTTTTATTATTTCAAGAAAGTTTAATACTAGCTTGCTTATTTAATATTATCTAATTAATATTGTAAAACATTTCAAAAGTAATATTATAGTACTAAATAAAATTAAATAATGACTATACCTACCAACTTATAAAATTTTATAAAATTTTTTGATTTTTTAAATATATGATAATTGAAAAAAAAATAAATGTAACTGTAATTAAAACTGCATTAAATAAACCATAAAATTTATAAGTAGAAAACCAATTATTTCCTCAAGAAAATCTCTAAACAAGCTTATAGTTTCATCTTTCCAGCTTTTTGATTACTATAGATAGTAAAGTATATGTAAAATTATTTGTTGTTATAGTTGTTAATAAACATGTGATTAATATTATTGTTGTAATTGTTGTTATAATTGTTGTTATGATACAAAACCAGTTTAAACAGTTTCAGTTTTTGTTTTAATTTTTAAGTGAAATCTAATTGAATAATTGAAAAATATTAATTATCTATAAAAAATAAACTGAATTTGGTTTTTTGACCAAAAAAAAATATTGAGAAATTAGAAATAGTGCAATAAATATTATCATGGAATAAGGATAGATTCCTAAACTATTTAGCATATAAAATTTTGCAGATCAATTATGTTTCTTTTGAAGGAACATACTTATTTATTCATTATTTTAATAGGGATATAATTCAAAAAACACTTGAATCAAGTGGCTTAAATTGCAAAAAACCTTTGTAGGTAGTTTTTTTTTGACCTTATATTTAAAAAAAAACTTTTTTAATAG